GCTACAGCTAAGTTAAATTGCTTACATAGGTAAGCAATTTTTTTCCTTGTTAGACATTTTAAATGACTCTTTTAGTTGGCCCTTGAAATTTCTTTTAAGATAGACACTTTCATCTGTGCCATTGTATTAAAAACAACTCAAAATAAAAACAGCCATTTCCAAGGGGAGCAAGAGATAGAAAGTCAAGAACAGCAAGAATTCAGCCCCTTGACAAAGCTTGAAGTATCCCCTTGACTTCAGAGTCACGATGTCACTTGCTGACTCAATGTGGCAATTTAGGAGTAAATAAAAATCTGAATTTACTGGCACTGAAGTATCAAAACTTGGAAGCTACATAAGTCACGCTTTCTCCACAGGATAAAGGTAGGGCTGTTCCCTTCCTTCTATTAAGTAGTTGGAGTGAAATCCATGAAACTACTTGTATGTGTGGGAGAACTATACCTCTTATTTTGATTTACCACTAGACTCAGGGATAACTGGCATACTTCTGCATAATCTAATAAGCCTAAATACCTTTGACGTTGAAAACAGAAACACTCTTATCTTATAATGCTGGTTTTCTTTCAACTGCGAGGGAAAACCTTGGTACATGTTATTGTCGGAATGTGAAGATGAGGGCAGAGGTTTTTTCTCAAGACTGAGGGACTGCTCTGGCTGACAAGCACGCCTCTGTTACAGCTGAACCCTGTTGTGCAAACAGCTGGCTGCACTAGACCTGTAATGCTGTGTATGCCCAAGGCGGTGAGTATACACAGTGCCGGGCATCACGTTGTTCTTGCAAACACAAAGGCTTGAACTAAATTATTTTTCTGTCTATTATGCTAATATCCTACTGGGAGCTGTCCCATTACCTCCTTCCAAGTAGTAATACAAGGGAGACACAATGAAGCACTCAAGTTAGGACCTTTCAGGTTAGGTTTGGTATACATCACAGCAGCCTTTAAAACTGGGCTAATCTAGAGATGGGTTTTGGGAAATTCAAAGAATTTGCAACTGGATAAATAATACTCAGTGTTGATCAAGATCCTATCTTTCCCAAGTCAGAAGTCTACATAATTTATTGCAGGATTGTGACTTAACACGTACAGGTTAATCCTCCAGGATTACAGGGCTGTCCATTTCTCCTGGATTCCAACTGCTTTGCTACTGAATGTATTTCATGCTATTTTTACCTGAAAAAAGAAAAAAAAATATATGGGTAGAGAATTAGGACATTACTTCCTCTTATTTTCTTATTTAGTGGGACTTGCTTTTATTTAACCTGTAAAGGAATATATATGTATCTCTGGAAAACTATATCTTATATATAGAATAATATATAGGAAGCTGAATCACAAGGGGATAAATACATCAAAAGGATTTGGTATCAAAAATTTCATTTGTGATTTGATACCACCAGAATCCTAGGCTGTACTAATTTCCTTTCAGTTTCTCTTATTTTTGTATTTTATATAATACATGGATGGAACTACCAATGCAAACAAGAGCATATGTTCTCAGATTTTTCTCCAGATCCCAATTCCCTCCTTCCAGTAATCCCTGAGTTTGCGCTGCTGCTGCTAACTCCTTCAAAAGCTGTGCCAGGAGCTCTCTTAAGCTTTGGGAACTGTTGCTTTCCCGTGGAAGAATATTCTCTGGCTTCTCTGAACTGGGAAAAGATGGCACATGAATGCAGAAAAGGGTCTAACCAAGCATGATCCAGATCCCTCAGTGTCTGCCATTCAAGGGGGATTCACTTCAGCACATTGAAAACAGCAGCTTCAAAGCTCTGACTCCATTACAGTGAAGTTTTCCAGGTTTGCAGTTGCATTTGTTACCTGCGTGTGTCCCAAGTTCGCAAATCCTAAAGAGTGAGGAAAAAAGAGCATCATAGCAGTATCAGACTTTTAAGTGAGAACAATTCGGTACTGCCAGTACTTGTGTAACAAATCCACGTATTATATAAAGTATAATATGGAAATATAAGTGTAATGCTTGTTATTAAAAGTGCAATTCAATGTACATGGTCACAACAAATGTTTACTTTTTTAATTGTTACAGAATTGTTTGGATCAGTACCTTGTTATCATTGTGTGAATGATGCCTTGTAAAATAAATGGAAATGCAAACAAAATGGGAATAAGGTGCTTATTTTCATAAGCCATTTACTTAAGAAACAGCTTCAATCTGTTTGCAATAATAAACAGCTGCTGTGTCAGGTTTTCTGATACAGTTCACTCCAGCTGGTTATTTTCAAGCAGCACTATTGCACTAGGACACAGTGACTTGGCAGCCCAGCTGTCCAAAATGTGCGCATGCTACATAGCTAATTCCAACCCATTCATTAGGATAATGTACTCATTCAAAAGGGGTGATCTGTTCCACAGGAGTCTGACAGCCAGGTGCTCTGCTAGAGAGCTAATGGGTCACCCTGGTCCTCTGCTCCACATGCTAGTCTGAGGTTTCCAGTACAGAGAACGTAGTGGTAAATATGCTTTTCTTGAAGGTTGTTGATATATAGCAATAGGGCAACAGGAGTTGTTGTTAGGGACTTCATGCTTCCCTGAAGTACACAAGAGGAACAGGCAAGTGAGCCATGAGGCAGCATGCCTGAAGGGAGAGACACTGGGAGCAGAAGGAAACAGCAAGAAACTGAAAACTGACTCGTGTAACAGAGAAGCATGGCTGAGCAAGAACAGGACAGAGCAGAATTTACAGCAGTCAAAAGGATTCAAATGCTTTATAAAACCATTTTTCCATGTGAGCAATTGCTCTAGCATTTCTTTTTTATTAATTGAGATGAACAGCCATTGTTCCCAGATAACTGGAAAAGCACACAGCGCTTCAGGGGAAGATACGAAGGCAAAGAGGTAGAAAAGCTGAAGATTAAATTTACCAGACATAACATTTTGTATTGATTTACCTCCCCATCACTATCCCAAGACTGTTTGTCATCAGTTGCTATCAATGCCTGCAGACAGAAGCAGGAGGAATGGCTACTACGTGCTAGATAAAGAAGCCATATCCTTTCAAAGCCCTCTCTGACACTTCCCCCCACCCCGTCCCTGTCTCTAGAGTTGATGAGCACTGAAGAGCACTCTGCACTGTATTTTGTCTGCCAGCCAGACTAGACCAGCATCTTTCAGCTGAGTTTCAGTACTCCTACTAACTCTAATCTAGCTCCTTTTCCCCCTCCTGATGCAGGAACTGTTCTGATTCTTCTCCCCCCAGAGAAAGCCTGCCACTTGGCTCCTTGTAAAGATGCGCAGAAGAAGAAAGGCTGACAAAGCCAAGTTTTCTTCTGTTCCCAGCCAGGGGAGGATGCAGCATCCAGCTGCTACTGCAGCTTTATGCAAAGGAGAGCTGTGTGAACTTGTTTTTACAAGAGCGACAACTCTTCCACATGGAAGCTGCCACTCAAGTGGAAGTGCCACAGGCACCAAAAAGCTCCTGATTTAAGGAAACTAAATATAAACATTGGTTTAAAAAAAAAAAACTCAAGAAAAAAAGCAAATTACAGGCTCACTTACAATTGCATTTATGTATTAGTGAAAACATTTTCTCCTCTAATCAGAAATTAAATTATAAAGCAATACCAATTTAAACTCTAAAACTGTGAGTACTTCCTAAGATAAGACCACAATTGAGAGTGGAGAAACTCAAAGATTAGTAGCTAAGGAAAAAACACAGAAAGTTTTTTCTTGCTTCAGTGGCTGCTCAACAGAAAGATCGTAAGGAAACAATTCCTGAATAAGCAACTGCCCTTAACCAATTAAATAACCATGCCGCAGAAGTAAATTCCAGTTGACCATGTTGTATTTTTGAGATAAAACCAACTAGCCCAGCTTCAAGTGCTATTCCTGAAGATGGACAGGCTGAAGCTCAGTCCTATGAACATTAAACATAACCATGGTTAGTTATGCAGATCTTTCCTGACACTTTCTCAACTGCAGCTCTTGAAGCCCTGGATCAGAGAGTTATAATAAATGCTTCAATACAAGGTCTGTTAAAACAGCTCTGTGGAATGCAGACTGGAACACAAATCCTTGGCTTCATGTTTTCTATGAATTTACTTTCATCCAATCTATTCTTCCCTCCCTATCTCTAAAAAAAAATAATTAAAAAATCCCATCTTTACAGATTAATAATTCCTGGATGTTCACTTTAGAAGACAAAGAGAAAAAAACCCTAAGGCCATACATCAGCAAATGAGCTGGCATTCCTCAGGAAAATAGACATTATAACTGGCACCCTCTTTTAGAGACATCTGCTTTTTAAACGCTGAAGGCCTGTATCCTGCCGTGGGTTCCACCTTTTATAAAAAACACCTGGAGGCAAACGCTGACTCTCCCACTTACCTGCTCACATAAAGATTGCCATTGCTTTTTTTTTTTTTTTAATTTATTTTCCTTTGGGAAATTTTAATGCCCGACTGCGACCCGGGGATATAGAAACGCTTTTGTTGTTGTTCAGTATGCTGCTTTAGTAACGGTGGTGAGAAACACCTCGCTATACTATTTTTTCCCGGGCAACTGCAACCGAGGTTGCAGCACTCGGGAAGGTCATTTCAAGTCTCCTCTGAAAGAGTCACGATCGCGGTCGCAAAGGAGACCCGCTCGCCTCGGCCGCCGGCTCCCAGACACCGTCGGGGGCGGGAGAAAACCCGCCCGGCCGTGGAGCCTGTCAGTAGCCGCCGCCTCCCCGGCCTGCGGCC